TGTTTTTTGTTTTTTTACTTAAGACTAAATTTGCCTCTCAGCAACTTTCAACCCAATTCACTGAGATCTGCCTTCTGGGCCAAACACAATTATTTATTCCCTCTTCACCGAGAGAGCCCTTCAAATATCTGAAAGTAGTTATTATGTCTCCACAAAATATTCTCGTCTCCAAGCTAAATATTCCAAGTTCTTTACCTAATGTTCATATGACCTGATATTGATGTCCTTCACCACCATCTTGGTTGCCTTCTTCTAGAAACTCTCTGGCTTATCAATGTCCTTCCTAAAATATGGTATCCAGAATAGAACACACTATTCTAGATGTGGTCAGACTAGGTCAGAGTACAGTACAGCAGGACTATAATCTCCCTAATCTTGGACACTTGGCTTCTCTCAATGCAGCCTAAGCTTTCTTAGCTGTCATATCATAGTGTTGACTCATACTGAATTTTCAATCCACAAAAAAATCCCCCATCTTTTTCAAATAGTTCTTTATTTATCTCTATTAAATTTAACCATTAAATATGATTGTGTTCTATTAGAAAATTGTACTAAAAGATTACAAGCCCTGAAAGGTATCATATACATCCACTGTTACCTTTACCATCTAAGTTCTATCCTTATACCTCTATAGAAATCACTCTTTTCCAAAGTCACTAATGATCTCCTTACTGCTAAATCCAAATGTTGTTTCTTTAGTTCTCATTCTCCTAGATATCTGTCTCACAGGATACTCTTATTCACCTCTTCCCTACCTGAGTCTCCTTCTATTCCCTAGAATTCTCTCCTAGACTCTCCCTACCTCTTTAATTACTCATTTCATGGCTCCTTTTATTATTATATGGCATTACATAGTCACAGTGCAGAGGAATTCTAGTCCTGCTCCAAACTCCTAAATGTGTGTGCTGAGGACTCTAGCCTTATCATTCTTCCTTTGTTTGTACAATATTTCACTTGAGCTTACCTACTGGAAAGGCATTTAGTAAGGACCTCTATGGACAAGCTGACTGGATGACTTGTTGACTTCAATATACTATACACTCAACAGGTTCAAATTTGAATTAATTATCTTCCTCCTAAAACTTGCATCTTCTCCTAACTTCCCTAATTTTGTCCATGACCCTACCATTTCTTCAAATTATCAAGGCATGAAGCTTCAGATATATCAATGACTCTTACTTCTCTATGGGCCTCAGTTTCCTCATCTGTAAAATGAGCAGGTTAGACTAGATGACCTCTAAGGTTTCTTCCAACTCTAAATACAAGATCCTAATCAGCAGTCAAGCCCTGCTGATTCTACTGCCAGGATCTTCCCTCTTCTTTCCACTTCTACTATTACAATTCTAGGGTCAAATACTACTACAATTCTAGGTCTCATTATCTCCCACCTGGATTACTCTAAGACTTCTAATTGGTCTCCTCTGTCATTCGTCCATCCACAGTCTTGCTGTCAGAGTAACCTTCCTAAAGCAAAATCTGACCACATTAACCCCTTGCTCAAATATGTTCAGGGGTTCCTCATTCCTTGCCAATAAAATACAACCCCTAATCCTGGCTTTTAGGCCCTCTGTATTCTGGCTACAACCTACATTTCCAGTATTATTGCAGATACCTACTCTTCACATACTCTGCTCCATCCATGAACTACATGCCATTCCCTAATCTTATCTGGCATCTACACCTTTGAGCATTCTGTCCCCCATGCCACCTCCACATCTTTAACTACTGAAATCCTTCCCTTCAAGTCCCAGTTTAGAACTGCCTTCTCTATGTTTTCCCTCATTGCTCCAGGTGTAACTGATCTCTCCTTTCTCAAATCACTGACACTACTTGGTTTGGACCTCTCCTACATACTTATACCATAACTTGTATTAGAGTTATGTGCCTTTGCCTTATTTTACCCTATTAGATTATGCTCTCCCTGGGGTCAGAGGCTAGATGTCATGTTTCAATTTGGTACATGCAGCAACTAGTACTGTTCATGGGAGGCATTTAATAATAACAAAAATTAGTATTATTATCATGTACATATGTAAAGTACATTAATTTGAATTAAAGCATGATAATGGCCAAGAGTCACCACCATACTAGTCCTGCTATGTCCTCAGGTGCACTGATTGGAAAAGCAGAGCAGATCTTAAATTCTCTAAGATTGTTACCCTGAAATATCCTTTTCCACTGCACTAAATAACTACTTAATACTTTAGAATAACAGAATAATTAGCTGAATTTTATCCATAATTTAATAAAAATATTCTACTAGAAGGCGGAAAAGGTGACCTCACCCCACAAACTTAGTGAACTCCTCCTACAAAGGTAAGTAATTTACTCTGCGTCAATGTACTTATCACTAGGGTCAAATATTATACATGCTAATCTTGCAAGTAAGTAACCAGTCTTACATGAAAATTACCAATCCAATAGCATAGCTATTCTAGGAAAAGAATAGAACTTTAAATAAACAAACATTAACAATACATTAAAAAACAGAATAACACAATAATCAGATAAATTCAACATAAGACAAAGAACAGCAATAATTCTTGAAGATTAAAAAAAAAACTATCCATGTGAATGTAACATTAACAAATTTGTTTTTTCCCCCATTTGCCTGATTTGATTAAACATTGAGTGCACACACATACTGGGTGTCCCAAAAGTCTTAGTGCAGTTTTCAGCCATCATTAAAGCTGAAAACTGCACCAAGACTTTGGGACACTCTATATTATTTACACTTGTACAACTCCTTTCTGTATACATGATTAAAAAGACATCAGGTTACACACAAGTGTGTACAAAATCTTCATTAAAGCAGCATTTAAAATTACAAACATTAAATCCATGCTATCCTAAGGCTACCCCCCCCCAACCACCACATTGTAGAATAATAATTTTTCTTCTGCAAAATAAATGAGTGTTGCAGGGTGCTGTGGTTTTTGTTGTTGTTTTTTGCTGGGTATCATAAAATGCCCCTATGCAAAAAGTGATGCTTTATATACTTTACATGTTTATTTCCTAGTCTATACCATAAATATCTACAATGTTGGCATGCGAGAGTTGAGTCTGAAGACACCTACTAGCAACAATCTCAAGCCTAAATTCTTACAATATTCCCCCCGTCCAAACACACACACGCACATACACTATATAAGACACCTGCTACTCTGAGGCAACAAGCTGAAGCCCAATCCTGACAACACCCCGCCCCAACACCGCCACCCCAATACACACACTATAAGATATCAGCTATGCTCTGGGGCAACAACCCCAAACCCAAATCCTGACAACACTCCCCGCCCCCCACACCATCACTACCAGTCCAACATACACTGTAAGACACCTGCTACTCTGGGACAACAATCGCAGGGCCAAATCTTGACAACCTCCACCCCCCAACACACACACACACACACACACACACACACACACACACACACACAAAATACTCCAAGGCAACAAGCTCAAGCCCAAATTCTAACAACACTCCCCCCCCCATGAAATCTCCGGCAAAACCCTACTAGTAAAAGCTAGTTTTGCATCCTCAGCGTTTAAATGGTCACCCCAAGGCCCACTCCCCCCACCCCGGGCTGTCCACACAACAGGGTGCCCCCCCTCCGCGGGCCACGGTGGGGGGAGGGGGCCAACGGCGCGCGGCGTGGCTGCAGGAACAAACAAAACACACACAGACACAAGATGTGCGTGGCTTCTTGACCCTCCCCACCCTTCCCCCGAAAGCACACCACACCATACCACACCACACAACACAACACAACACACACCCATCCAGGACACGCAAGTCACCTTTCGGCCGTCGGTGGGAAGCGACAGTGCTGGGCAGCAGCGGGAGTTGGCGATGGGTCTTCTCGGACTTGGCGGGTCCTCGCTCCGGGCTCGGCGGTGCTAGGGGGCGGGGAAGGAGGGGGCAGGCGAGGGAAAACACACACACACACACACACACACACACACACACTCGGCTGCACAAACCCAGCGAGACGCCCGCAAAGAAGCGGCGCCGGGGGAGACGAGGCAACTCACACTTCCACACTCACCCTCGCACACCCTCCTCACGCCCCTCACAGTCCGTACCCCACTACGCCTCCGGTTCCCTCCGCCACGGCAGATGGCTCAGAGTCACCCAGAAGGGAAGGGGCGGAGGACTAGGAAGGAGGAACCGGAGGAGGAAGGGGAGGGAGAAGGGGAGAATGAGGCAGCGGCGGAGCTCTGTGCAACACAGTGGAGAACTGGGGGCTGGGGCAGGGGGAGCGCTTGGGAGGGGGGTGCGACGAGAGCGAGGGAGAAGGGGGGGAGGCAAAGAACGGAGAGGCGACCAATCACCGGAGAGGGCGGGAGGGGGCGGTGCCCCTGTAGCAGCTGTGGCACAGGTGATAGGGCTGCAGGGCCGCCACTCGTCACCTGAAGCCCCGCCCCCGACTGGCACAGCCCCAGTCGCGAGCTGCGGCGCTGGGGCCTGGGAGGAAGACGCCGTTCCTTTTCCTCCCCAGTCTTGGGACAGTCCTTCTGCTCTCCTGAGGTCCGGGCGGTCGCCGCTGACCCCTCCCGCGAGCCAGGGCCCCGGATGGGGGTGTCGGCCGCAGCGAAGGGGAGCGGGAGCCGGGCTGTCAGGAGGGAGGCCGCAGGTGGGAAGCTAGCTTGACACCGCTGCGGATTGGAGGGTGTAGAGGGCCCGCGGGAGCGGGAGCGGGAGCCTACCCGCCCCCCCCTTCCTGTTGCGGAGCAGAACCGGCCCAAGTTTCCAAGGTGCTTCCAGGCTCTGCTCACATGCCACCTCTTATCCGAGGCCTTTCCTGACCCTGCCTGGGGTGGGCGCATCTTCTCCACCCCCCCCCCACCCCGCCCAAATTACTTTGTGTAGACTTGCCTGGGTGCCTGTAGTTGTTTTCTCTCCAAATTGGATGTGAATTCCAGGGGTGGGGGGGATGGGATGGGGTTTTCTTTGTTTTGTCTTAGCGTTCTGTCATGCACATAGTAGGAGCTTAATAAGTGCCCGTCTTTGTAGTTGGGCAAGGCTGAGTAGCTTGTCCTGGGTCAGAAAATCTAAAATTTCATTCGATTGACATATATTAAATTCTAACAGACCCGAGGATGTGCACAGGATTTTAAGTAGAGGCTTGCTTTGCCCAGTTTTCACGAATTGTACATTCCTGTAAGCTTTTATATCTCAGCATATTCTCTAATGTCTATGGGAAGGTAGGGGTCCCAGGGTCTCTCCCTCCTCCGGTCCATCCTTAACACAACTGCCAAAATATCTGAGGAACAATTCTGACAGTGTCACTCTCCAATAAGCAGGGTCCTTCTGTTCACTATTGCCTAGCAGATAAAATACGAATTCATTAGTCTAGTATTCCAGGCTTTATACAATTTGATCCCAAACTACCTTTCTAGCCTTATTTCAGATAACTCTCTTCACTTACAGGCCTTCCAGTCATACTCTACTCAGTACTGTTCCACAAAATCAACATAGATTCAGGACCTGGGTCCAAATCCTATCTTTACCTATGACTACTCCTTTGACTTTAGGCAAGTCATGACCATTCCTTGGGGTGGAAACTCCAGTTTCCTCAATTGTAAAGAGATGGGGTTGAACTACAGGGCCACTGAGGTTCCTTTCAGCCTTAGACCTATGATCCTATAAATTGATTATCTCTTTGACCTGTCTTGGGTCTTGCTCTATCCTGTAACTGGAATACACAATTTCATATGACCTAAGTGGTATAGTATGAGAAACACTGGTTTTGGAATTACCAGGATAAGTTAAAATTCTGTTTCTGTCACTTATTACCTATGTGACCTTGGGAAAAGTCATTTCTCCTTCTGAGGCTTGTTTCCTGGGCTATAAAATGAAGGAATTAGTTTTAAAATGATACAAGACCCTTTCCAGCTCTAAAATCCTATGATCCCAGGAAACCCTCATAATTAAGGCCTAGTTCAAGTGCCTTCTCCAGTATCATTTTCATGTGAAGGTAAATTTTAGTCTTTGAGTGTAGGAACTGTTGCGCACTTTTTTCATCCTTGTAGTTTTCGTGCCTAGCATAGCACCTTCTGCTATTGAATACCGTGGATTTGTTGGTATTGTCTCTGTAAGACAGGATTCTGTCTAATTTATCTCTGTAGCCCCTCTCCCCTAAGCACAGTGCCTTTTACATAATAGAGGCTCAATAAATGTTTTTGTATGAATGAATGAGCATTTTCTGGAAGTGAGAGCATACTTAGAATTTGTTCGAGCAAATGTAAAATAAAAATAGGCCTCGGATGTGAATTGGAAAAAATAAAATGTGCAGTAAATCATAACTGGAAACTCATGAGAACTTGTTTCCCAACTTTTTATTTATCAAATTGAAACTACAAACTGATGTCATTTTCATTATTCTCAGTAATATAAATTTAAAATACTTAAAAGTAAAAAATTTTAAAGGGCTATATTAAGAAGAAATAAATGTTTAATCAGGGGTCAAAGTGTCTCAAACTAAAAGTAGAATCAATGCCAAATCTGAAAAAAAAATTCAACATTTCTGAAGAACCTTCACACCTTGAGAAAACTGAATGGAGTATATTCAGATTACTTTGAATACTTAAGGTTTAGAGGTAGTCCTCTGTACTTAAAACTCATGTAGATTTCTCATTCAAGAAATATTAATTCAAGGGGCAGCTAGGTGGTACAGTGGATAGAACACCAGCCCTGGAGTCAGGAGGACCTAAGTTCAAATACGATCTTAGACACGTAACACTTAAACTAGCTATGTGACCCTGGGCAAATCACTTAACCCTGTTGCCTAGCAAAAAAAGAAAAGAAATATCAATTCAAGTGTACTGTGTGGAATAGGGATAGTTTCCATCTTCCTGATAGTAAAGGTAAAAAGTAGAAAAACTATAAAAATCAGACACCACTCTGAAATATACAGCAGTTTTGAGTACAAAAAAATCCATAATGGACACAGAAGACAGCATTTTATCATAGTACTTAAAAATATTGATGTCTATGATGACTCAAGTTTTCAAGAAAAGGTTAAATTCAGGAAAATAGAAAAAGAAATGCATAATATGTCTGAGAAATATTTTCACCTAAAATGCTGGTTGATTGACTACTTGTTGACTGACTTCACAATCAATACCCAAATTATCTTTCCAGGCTAATTGCACATTATTCTCTTTCATGAATTCTGTGTTTCAATCCACCTAAGCTGCTTGCTGCTTCCACTACACATTCCATCTTCCTACCTTTTCTTCCGGGGTTCCCTGTCTGAAGTACACCTTTTAGAATTCATAATTTCCTTTAAAGGTGAACTAAAATACAGCCTTCTACTGGGAGCCTATCTTTGCCACTCCTCAATTTTAGCACACTCTCCCTAACCCCTGTGTGGGCTACCCTTATCAATGAATCAGAGACTCAGAGATATTACTGGATTGCCCTGGGTTGGCACTCAAAAAGGAGGCAGGGTTAACATTATGATCCTGTGCCAAAACCAAATCGTCCTTTTTCCAGTAAAATTGCTTCATATTTCAATATTCTTGCCTCTGCCTACTGAATCCAGAAGCTTAAATTAAAAAAAAAACTACTGGGCACCTCTGCCCTCCTCTTATTTGTGCCAAAACTCCAAGTGCTACTCCCTTATCTACATTTACAGACAAATGAAATGGTTTCTCCAAGGGTGGTAAAGCTAACACAGAGGGAGAGACTAGAATTCTTTTATTCTTTCAAAACTTTGATGACTTTCCTTGTCCCAATCTATGGAATCTGGTCCCTCACTCAATAAATGTTTATATAGTTGAATAAGAATGAATCCAATTTCTACAATATCCTACCAATCCAAGAAACTTACGGACTTCCCTCTTAGTCCTAGGTCTGAGTGTATGAATAATTCCTTCTACCCTAGCTGGACCTAATTTCTTACTTTCTTCACTAATTAAATGTCCCAAATACTTAACTTCCTTTTCCACAAATTATAATAAACTTTGAAATGATCCATTATCAATTTAGATGGATCTACTTCTAAGTCACTTTGTACAGAAAATCATTCATCATAATATGTTGAGACTATAACTTTAAACCACCATATTTTTATAATAGTCAAGATTTTAAATAAAAATCTATTATCATAGTCCTATATACAAATATACCTCATCAGGTATTTAACAGTTTTCAAATTATCTCATCTTTATCTCTTAAAAGACCCCCTGCTGGTCAAAAGTTACCTTAACACCATTTCTTCCTCATAATGGTCCCTCAAATTTTACAATCTATAAGTTTTAGAAATACAATACAATCTAGAAATACAGTAATAACTTAAACAATAAACTGCAGATAACATCAATTGCATTTCCATATTATCACATATAGAAATGATTGCTCTTACTACTCTTATTACACTTTTAACTTTTAACATTAACTAATGATGCCACATCTCATAACAACCATTGTTATTATTTTTTTAATAGAATAGTAAACTTAAATCCAATCAGATCTGAATTTATAATCACTAATGATAAACATTTAAAAACATTTTTGTTTTAAATCCAATACTCTTGGCCGTTTAAAAGGAAATGTTTTCCACAAATTTATATATCCCCTTAAAAAGATACATGTAAATAATTCCTGCTCTAAACAGTTATCTCCTTTTTTTTCTTTATTGTCTTTCCCTTCACATTCAAAACTTGGCCAGAGTTAGAATGTAAAGAGAGAGAGAGAGAATTTTTTTTCCCAACATTTTCCAAAAGCTTTCAAACCTTTTACTTTCAAACCCTCTGTTCACATTGTTTGTGCAAATAGCTTATACTTTTCTTTCTACCCAGACTCCTTTCATTCCTACATGCATAAACTTTCTTGCCTTTCCTTCTGATGGACTTTGATTAAAGTCCCTTTAAAACCGCACATATCTTATTTCTTTCTAATTCTGACCTGACACTTCAAAGATCCTTCTTGACTTGGCTTTTACCAATCATTCTAAATAATAAAGTATTTGTCTCTCTTTCTGTCTCCCATCCACCCACTTCTCTGAGGCTGCTGTTATCAGGGAGGGAGAAGGGGAGAGAAAGAAAGAAAACATTTTTCCATGCAATAAATTCAGCCGCAGCTCTTAGAAGCTAACTTTGCTGGCTAGGGTTTTTACAACTTAGAGGTTTTCA